TCCATCAGAGTCCACCACAGTCCAGGTTTTGTTTTAAATCTTATCTGAGGAGAATCTTTTCTGAGTTAAACTTGTTGCAACAACAAACACAAACAGACGTCTGTTAAATGTACATTTTTACACTGTGGGCGGGGCTCCAGCCTGTTGCCGTGGTAACCGTGAGAACGACAGACAGACGGGTGGTTCAGGAGAACCAGGGACCAGAATCAGAACGTAGAACTGTCAGTCAACTGTGAGTCAGTTCAGTCCAGTCTGGGCCCAGTAAGAGGATCAGAGTCAGTGCTGGAAACCAGTTTAACCCAGTTTAAACTGGGTTAAACTGATCTCAGCTGAGTGGACATAGAGTTAAAAAGAAAAAGATTTAGCGCGTTAAAGTCCAGATCAGACTAATAAAGACAAACTCAGAGTCAGTTCAATGTCCCTTTAATCAGTAGCTTGAAGCTAACACTGGCCGTTGTTAGAGAACCAGTTAGAACTGGTTGAAACCAGAATAAAGAAATAAACATATTCCCTTTAATGTCCTCACACAGAACCAGACTCAACTGAACTGGAACTAAAAGTCCGTCCAGGTTGAGAAGCAGTTAGAACCACTAAGTTTGAGAAAGTCAGTAAGAACCATTTTGAGCCGCTCCAAACTAGACTGAAGGAGAATTCGCTAAACTAACCAGAACCAGTTAGAACCAGTTAGAACCAGTCTGGTCCAGTCCCTTCAGAGAATAAAGTGCTTTCTATTAAAACAAAAAAGTCTCATTTTACTACATTTCCCAGCAGCCACTTGGATTCCCGTGTGGCAGCCATCTTCTTTCAGAACCGTCCTCTAAATGTTAGTGTCACAGGAAGTGATGTCACTGTGACATCATAAAGTCCCACCAGGTGAATCCAGATCAGACAGACCAACACCAAACAGTGGTGACATCACAGTGATGTCACGGCTCAGATGAGCTCCCATTCGTCGTCGACGTCGTCCCCGCTGAGGGAGGGGCCTGAGGGGGCGGGCCTACAGGGAGCCTGTGGGAGGAGCTTTGTCAGACGACGGGACAATCCACCAATCGGAGTCACCGCCCACAACTCGTCCTCTGAAGTCACTGGAGAGGGAGAGAGAGGGAGAGAGAGGGAGAGTGACAGAGAG